TTGTTTGAGAGGGATTTTTGGGGGAATAATTGATTTTGAATAGTGATATGATGAGAAATGTGTGGTTGAAAAAGAAGAAAAAATTATTGATGTGATGGAAAATATTATTTTATTGAAAAATATGTGGTTAAAAATGAGAATTGATTTATCGTAAAATTTGAGAATGAAAAACAAACACGCCCTAAGTTAAGTTATATAAAGAGAAATTTCTCCTTGTTCAACCCTCTCAATTCAGCTCCTCATGGGACATTTCCACGCTTTGAATGTTCAATTTTAGTTTTGTCTATATTTAAACGTGCCTGCATTACTCCGTCATTCCTAATTCAAGATCATGAATTATGATCGGACGTTGTTCTTCTCTTTCGTTCCCGTCGTCTTCTACTTCTTCTTCAGATCATCCATAGCTGCTGACTCCTTAGCTCCAAATCAAACTCTCTTGGATAATGGCACAACTCTTGTTTCTGCAAACGAAACCTTCGAATTAGGTTTCTTTAGTCCATGGAATTCCAACAACCGATACATCGGAATCTGGTTCAAGAAAGTCCCAGAAAAAACTGTGGTGTGGGTGGCAAACAATAACAACCCATTGACGGATTTATCCGGTATTCTAACAATCACTCCTGATGGAAACATCGTTGTCACCAGCATCAGAAACCAATCAAGTATCATTTGGACTGCAAATATAACATCAAGAACAGTAAGTAATCCAGTCTTGAAAATTCTGGACAGTGGAAACCTTGTCCTGAAAAATAGTACTGGCAATAATCTGGATAATTATGTGTGGCAAAGCTTTGATTATCCCCGTGATACACTAATTCCTGGCATGAAGCTCGGATGGAATCTTAGAACAAATGAAGAATTGTACTTAACCTCAAGGAGAAGTTCACAGGATCCATCTCCGGGTGACTATACATACAGGATGGACAGTCGTGGGTTGCCTTCAATAGTTCTCCGCCAAGGATCGCAGATTAAGTTCAGAAGCGGACCTTGGGATGGTGTTCGATTTGGTGGCCAACCTGTTCTGCAAAAAAATACAGTTTTTAATCCAATTGTTGTGTTTGATTCAGACAATTTGTATTACGCATTTGAAAACGTTGATGTTTCTATCATATCAAGGTTTGTGGTGAACGAGTCAGGCCTTGTCCAGCACCTTACATGGAGCCAGGATCACTGGAATAGCATAGCCACAATGCAATCAGATGATTGTGATAGTTATCCACGCTGTGGTAATTTTGGGGTTTGTACCTTTTCTAATTCACTAAGTTGTGATTGCCTATCTGGGTTTGTTCCCAGGCAGAGACAGGCTTGGGCACAGTTTGATCGAGCATCTGGATGCATTAGGAGGACGCCATTGAACTGTAGTACAATAACCGGATTCAGAAAGTTTCCTGGACTCAAATTGCCTGACCCTTCGAATTTTTTAGTGAATAGAAGTGCAATGAATCTGATGGAATGCGAGGCTGCCTGTTTGAGAAATTGTTCGTGCGTCGCTTATGCTATGACACAATTCAGTGGATGTATGGCATGGTTTGGGGACTTGCTTGACATCAGAAAGTATTCTGAAGGTGGACAGGACCTGTACGTTCGGATGCCTGCTTCAGAACTCGGTAACTCTTTTTAAGTTTAAATTTATTGAACCGTCTTGTCTAAAAGTTTAAACATATGCAACACTGTATGATACTCATTCTACTACTAATGATTTTAAAAGTTACTTTTCTAGCAAAGTAATTTTAAATATAGTCAAGCATGCTCTAAACTTATTTTGGGTGATCCAAAGATTCAAGCAACAATTCCAAGAGAACCGCCGTGCTAGCATCAGTGGCCGTGATTTCCTTCCTTGTTCTTTTGGGTGTAATCAGTTGGTTTGCTTTCCGTAAGAAGACTGCAATCCGTAGAAGAGGTAAGCATATCAACCCCATTAGATTAATGTTCTTTTGACCGATTTTTTATTCATTTGACGCTATTGAAATGTTTGACAAAATGCCTCTGTTGCTATCAAACAGTGATTCTTTATACCCAGAAGATCATCTTTTGACTTTGGATATTAGGTTCATACAAGGTGGGGTTGGATATACTTGTAGTACAGTTTTTCGTGGTTGAAGTCACCATACGGCATCATTTTTTATTTTTTTCCAGTAATCTGGTTTTGTTAAGGCAGTACGCTAAGATTATCCATAGATTCGTGCGGTTTCTGAACCTATTGAGATTAGCCAAGATTTCAGCTATTGGGATATTGATAGTCTTTAGGAAGAGCATGGTGGAGACTGATATTTAGGAATCACATAATATAGGTTCAATCCACGACAAAAATCAATAGGAAAAGCTATTAGCTAACGTAATTGCGAAATGTTATGATCGGTGATGGATTTTCTCATAGGTGAATCGATAAAGACCATTTGAGATCAGAATAACTTTTAATACAGAGTTCCCAACTTTACATTTTTGAATTTGATTCTGCAGAAGAATTTGAATCAAGAGATTTGTATAAAAGACTTTTGCAGACTACGAACTTAACCTTAAACTACTTTTGCCAGATAAGTTTTGGGACTTTACGCAGGAAGATAGTTCCTATTTGCAATTTTATTACTTCCTCTCTCACTGGCTTTCTTAGTATAGAGCCAGAGTTCCAACTATAGAAGTTACGAAAAATAGCAACATACAGCTCTCTGATTGTGACAACGAAAGTGCAGAATTTTCAAGTACCTCGAGTCTCTTTTTTTAAATCTGATCGTTTCCACTTACACCTGGAATACATTAGTTTCAGTGCCTCTATTGAACATTATTGAGAATTCGATAATGATATGCATAATTTGCACTAAATCTAGTAAACATTGCAAGAACAAGTACAGAGGTTACTTAAAGAAGTTTTGTTGAGATCTACTGTGAATTTCTGTACTGACACCTTGTTAATAATGCCAGCTTTGGCATATCAGGCCAATCGGGGACATGATAATCCAAACCAAGATATCAATCAAACCATTGGAGATGAAACTCTGGAGTTACCTTTATTCAGTTTTGTCACAATTTCAACTGCAACTAATGAATTTTCATTAACCAATAAAATTGGGCAAGGTGGTTTCGGCCCCGTTTACAAGGTAGTTTTTGGTTTGTATATATTTATTTTATTTGAATTAAAAAATTTGTTTATTACATATCTTACTGGTCAGTTTAATGATTTTGAATTTCATCATTCCCTGCAGGGTGTCCTCCCAACGGGAAAGGAAATAGCTGTTAAAAGACTTTCCGAAGATTCTGGACAAGGCCTTAAAGAGTTCAAGAATGAAGTTATCTTGATCGAGAAACTACAGCACAGGAATCTTGTTAAGCTACTGGGCTGCTGCATTCATGGAGAAGAGAGAATGTTGGTTTACGAATACATGCCCAACAGGAGTTTGGACTTGTTCATTTTCAGTAAGTCTCTCAACAATTAATCTTTACGTCTCCACCAACAATTTTTGGATTTTAGAGTTAAATTTTTGAATGTCTTGATCAATCTACCTAGATCAAACAAAAGATACAACTCTAAGTTGGCAGAGGCGTTTTGACATTATAGCGGGAGTTGCCAGGGGGCTTCTCTACCTCCATCGTGATTCAAGGTTGAGAATAATTCATAGGGATCTGAAAGCAAGCAATATTCTTCTGGATAATGATAAGAATCCTAAAATCTCAGACTTCGGCTTAGCAAGAACATTTGGAGGGGATCAATATGAAGAAAATACAAAAAGAGTCATGGGCACTTAGTAAGCTAGCATGCTTCTTTCCTCCTTTTGTACTTGGTAGTCTTGGTTTCTATTTCTCCTAAAACTTGTTTTATTATTTCGTGTAGTGGATACATGGCTCCTGAATATGCTATAGATGGACTTTTTTCGGTGAAATCTGATGTGTTTAGCTTTGGAGTGCTCGTTTTGGAGATTGTGAGTGGAAAGAAAAACAGAGGATTTCATCATCCTAATCACGACCTCAACCTTTTGGGACATGTGAGTTTAAAATACTATAATTTCTTTACAAGTGATAAAGCACACTAAGTCACTAAATTTATACGATTTTCTATTGCCATAGGCTTGGAAACTATGGACGGAAGGAAATCCTATGGATCTTTTGGATGCTTCATTAGTGAATCTGAACTCAGAATCTGAAGTTTTAAGGTGTATCCACGTCGGCTTGTTGTGTGTACAACAACGCCATGAAGACAGACCTATTATGTCTAATGTTTTATTAATGTTAGACATCGAGCACCCGGTGGTTTCTCAACCTAAACAACCTGGTTTTTACTCGGAAAGATCACTTATTGACATGGCTACGTCTTCATCAACAGGAAATAAACTTCATACTTCTAATGAAATAACTGTAACATTATTACAAGGTCGATAGAATCCTTTTTCTATATATATATATTACTTTTTTTTTTTCATTTTGTGGTAAATTAATTATTACTAAGTAATTATTTCTTTAGCTGTGTAACCAAAAAGTTCCACTTTTGTATTTGTATTGTTAGTCTATCGCTTTCATCCGATTTAAATGCATAGAGAAAAATGAAATCCCACAATACTTAACCAAGTTTTCTGGCTCTCTCATGGACACGCAACATATATTTGTTCCATAAATAAGGTCATCTATATATTGGTCCACTAGTGGCTATGAATTTAAGAGTCTTCAATTAAATGGTCAAATCTTCACCTAAAATTGCTGTGAATTAATTCAGAATATAGAAACGACAAGATTTCATTTTCGCCAGTGCCTGTCTTAAAATTAATAACCCATTTGGGGAAGAATTTCACAGTTGTTATACCCTTTATCAAGAAAATCATGTACACAGTAAAATTCACAAGCTTTTATCACAAGAAATTCACACATAATGAGCCCGTGAATTTGAACTTAAGGCTGTTGGTTTTCTGGGAACAGCCATTTTTCTTCTTTCCAACGTACTGTCCTTGAAATTGTAGGGTCAGGATAAATTTATTTTTTTCCAGTGGCGTAAATAATTCCCAATTTCCAAGCTTAAAATAAAGTGGAAATTGCAAGAAATGTCCACTTTCTTCTAACCACTTGCAAAAATGGCAACTTTCAAAAATCTTTGCAAAATGGCAATTTTGGTATATTTTAGACCAAAAAACCCATGATCAACAATTTATGATTCCATTCAA